AACACGCTGCGTATTAAATCAAAAATTTGCTAAAAAACGAATCGTAGAGCGGAAGCTTGTTGGCCTGCACGTTCTCCTCCTGATCTAACACTTTTCGACTTTTTCTTGCGGGGGGCATGATCAAAGATATTTTTTACAGAGACGTTCTGACAACAGCTGAAAACATGAAAGGTCGTATTTTTAATGCGTGTGTAAGTATTTGTTCGGATACAGTACAGAGAACTAGACACGCATTTGTTTTACGCCTAAGTAAGAGTATTGAATTTGGTGGAGAACATTTTGAGCACATGTTTGTTAATACAATTCATTCTCCGTAAGCTTCCACCTCAAACAGTTATTTGTGAAATTTTCAGTCCAAAGTCATTTCAAGGTAATGTTGCGATACCCAGTTGAATGCGTTTCGATGTTCCCTTCTCACGGTAAAGAAAAAAAAAAGTGGGTCATTCCGTTTAAAAAGGATGTTACTGATAGTAAAATCTCGGAAGATATGACCATGAGATAACCTTCATCCCCGTTGCTTAATTTTCACCCTGAAATAACTTCCTCCCGCGTTTCTTCAGCATTTTTTTATATTTTTACAAATAATAAAATAAGTAAAAGTTGCAGAGGAATGTAGGGTGTTCGTTTCTGAGAAATATCGTTTCTTTAAAAAGAGGCAGTACGAAGTAAAAAATGTTCTATCAGCATCGTGTCCAAAATGAACATTTCATTAGATAAAAGTTGTTTAAGAGTTTAATTAAAAAACCTCTAATTCTAATACGTACTTAATAGTGCGTGGTTTAGGAATGGGCACAATGTCGGACGGCTTTTCGTTGGACTCCACATCGCTATGTTGATCATCTTCATCACTCCAGAAAGGGTTTAAGTTAATTTGCGGTGCCGCCAAACGTCGCTTTGTCGGTCTCTCCATGAGAATCTCTTGCCCTGCATTCTTGTTGCTGAAATTATTTCTCGTAGCTGGCTTTGGTGGAATAATTTCCATCTTTTTCGCGGTCCCTTTTTTGTTTCCTCCTCCTCCTCCTTCTCTTTCTTCTTCTTCTACTTCTTCTTCTTCTTCTTCTTCTTCCACTTCTTCTTCTTCTTCCCCTTCTTCTTTTTCATTTTCAAAAGGATTTGTTGAATCTCTGGTAGTCTTTAAAGTGTTTGCGTTTGTTTTAGGATTATTGGTAATCTCTTCCTCTTCGTCACTTCTAAAAGGATTTAAATCTTCAGGGTAGTCTTTTTTTAAGTTAACTTTTACAAGTGCTTGATCTACGCTATTTCCTTTATCCGATGAATGAATCGATGAACTTTGAAATACCATCGATTCGTGTGGTAACGATAGTTCGGACGGAGCCGTTATATTTGGACTCTTTTCGCCTTTCTCGCTACAAAAATTTTCAGCGTTATCTCTTAATCCGTCATATGAATCGACTACTTTTGTCGCATCTGAACTATTTGGCAAACTTGTATATTTTCTTTCCGTTACATCATGCTCCTCAGGCTGTATCTTAAATTTGCACGTTTCGGTGCTTTGATGTTTGGTGTCATTTGTTTCAACATGATCTTTCATACTTTCAAACATCATGCGTCTCTTTTGAACTAGAGAAAGACTACTCTTAGCGTTCGTACATTCGTCGATCGTCTCAGACAATGATACCTTAGTGTTATCGCGAAGCATTGACTTCTCCTTAACTTCATTCTGATCTAAGATTACAGTTAACTCTTCTTTCTGCTTTTTACCGTTAACGTTTAATTTATCGTGATCATGGTTCTTCATTATTGCACAGTCTCCACTTGTCCCTTGAACCGTACCTTTCACGCTTAGAGCTTCTGCTATTGAAGAAGCACCATGAAAGTCACATTTTTCTTCTTGCTTCCCTTGTTCCTCGTAATTATCGTTAATTGGCAATGTGAGATCTGCATTTGTTGTTTCAAAATTTACACGATTTTGGTCGAAACCACTTTTCACATTGTCATTCATTGGTGAGCTATCAGTGGTAAATGTTTCCATCGCTTTGTCCGAGAGTAGCTCATTCGATATGAAATTCAGTCTTAATCGAGAAGTTTGTGCAATTATATCGGGAACAGAAGAATCATTGCTATTTAATATCGTTTTGATGGAATTACGACAAATCATTCTTTCATCCACGTTTTCGTTATCACGAAAAGGTCGGGTATAAGTTGAATCTGTCATGATATCTTTTTCGGTTTCATCAGGTGTTATAGAATCGCTGCAGCTTTGTATAGCGAACGATGGAATTTCTTCATCAGGGCACGTTTCACAGCAATGTTGCCCTTCCTCGGTCTCGTAATAATTACCAAGGGTTAACTGATTACTACATCGTGCACAGCGAAAGCAGGTACGATGATAAGCAACGTGGTCTAGTACCAACTTTTCCGCTAGAAAAACTGGAAGCCCACATACGGCGCACAGATCCTTTCGCATTCCCAAGCACGACGCCTCCTGCAGCATTGTAAGTAACTTTAGTTTCATTCCTTCCATAACGTATACTTTATTTATATGTACTTTATTCAAATAATAGAACATTTAATGTTATTGTTAAATAAATCGAGTTCAATACATTCAGTCACAGCTTCATAGTATGTATAATCACAAGATTTTTTACTAATCCGTACAATGTAGTCTTGAAAAGTACGATTTATGATATGATCGATATATGTTTTAATTGAGCATTTAATTAATCACTGATTTTAGTGGAATTTTCGTGCAATTCTGTTCTGTCGAGAAATATTTCGTATGCATTTTTTTATCGGTAATGTTATGCTCGTAGAGGGTAAAAGTGACTAAATAAATTAGTTTGGGGTAGAAAACATGGAATTTTGTATTAGGAAATAGATTCGAGTGCAGACGTTGTATATTTTGCACAAGGAACCCAACTACATTCATAAGCAATTCTCAAAAAACTGTCTTTGTTCTAAGGAAAACAAAAATTTTAGTCTTTGATAAACTTATATCTCTTATAAACTGCGGATTTATTTTGGAATGAAACGTGAATACAACTTACGAACCAAAATGAAGAATATGTATGCTTTCAAGTACTCTGATAAATATTCGGAACCGTTAGGAACATCAGCCTGCAATGACGAAGAGTAAAGAGTAGACTTAAAGATAAATAAAAAAAATTATAAATATTTAACTTATCATTTAAACAGATAGAGTTTTTTGAATATTGTTTAGGTAGCTGTCGTCCATTGAAAACACATTTTTCACATATTAGAGGAAATATGATTTTTTATTCCCAACTTTGGGCTCATCTTCTACCCTTTTGAACGATTACCGATGAAAACATACACGTATTTTTCGAAGAAATGTATCATGTAAAAATTTAACTGAAATCAACGATTACTACGTGAATCTGTTCCTTTAACACGTTAAGCGCGGCGTCAGTCCGTGGGGACTGACAGTGAATTTTCCGTTTAGGCGGCGTCGGTCCGTGGGGACTGACAGTGAACTTTTCGTTTGGGTGTCGGGACCAGCACGTCTCCTTTTTTTTTTCCCAATTTATGAACACTTCTTCTATCAACCCGGATTGGTATTTCTTCGTCTGAATGCCGTGTGAGCGCATTTGTCATCTTCTGTTTATACTCTATAACCGAACAGCTCGCGAAGTGATCAGCGCTGTGTGCCGCCTGAACGGAAAGCAGAGCGAAATCGGCTCCGCGCTCAACGTGTTAACATGAGTTAGACTCCTGTTCCATTTCATAATTCCATTAATGAAAACCATTTCATTAGTACCGATTTTGTTCTGGATTTCGTTTTAACTTTAATTAACACATTCACTGTCGGATGCGAAAACGTACTCCTCCCTCGTACGTCTAAGAGAACGAAATGTTGTGATATGTTGTGAAGGATGTTATGCGGATCTCCTAAATAGCGGACTTAATTGGGAACTTGCAGCTAAGGAGACAAAAATAATAAATACTGAATGCAAAAGTGGAACAAATCATTTTGCATTAGCTGTTTTAAAACACGTTACTCGTAAAAATCAAGTATTCTGTTTCTTATAATGATATTTTGTATTATATTTTATTAAATTAATCATAATGCTCAATTGAATTATTCCTTAGGTGTAAGCGACACTCGTAATTTAATTATCCGTATAAAAATTTAAACATAAGCTACTCTCTGTATTAAAAGTACACGACTTCTGATTCCAGATCCTCCTGCGCCACATGTGTACCAAGGGACTTATAAGCAGAGAGTATGTATAACATGAACGTGTTAATATTTTATTTCCGCATTTGATTAAGTATAATATACTGCGATATAATGTTTTTAACGATATACAATTAAAAATGTTATTTCAATATTATATTTGCATCAGGATGCATTTACAGTTTCAAACTTTTAATGAAAAGTTAAAAATAATTAGTAATAAGAATAGTAATGGTGAATTGCTGCTTTCAGAAGGTAGTGGAGGTCGAGTGGGCCTTATCGGTAATATGAAAATAAAATAAACCGTCATGTGTGCTGCCAAAAAATACGTTACCACTCTGTTCTGTACAAAGTGGAATTTTTATCATCTGTATGTGACCTCCTAGATAATAGAACTTTCGTTGGGTCCACAAAATCTTTTTCGTTAAAGTTAATCTGAACAAAGACACTATTTCATTCATTTGAACTGAATAATAATATATTGCACTGGTGCAATATTTCCTTCCTTCGTCCCTTCTTTCCACCCTTTCTCTCGCATATCGCTTTCTTATTGTAACTGTACGAAGTGGTTGGAATACTCTAACTGCTTTATCCTGACACATTCATTCTTTTACAAGCACTCTTTATAATCATGCGTGTATGTATATACAATACCGCTCATAAGTTTAATCGTTCAATTCAAAAGTGTAATGTAATTCAATTCATTTCAGTTCATTTTATTTATATTGATGAAATTCCAATTCTGTTTATCAAATTCAATGTTTTATATCGAACTCAACAGAGTGAAGTTTATCATTCCCGCTTAATTCATTTCTTCCTGTAGTTACTTTTAGTGTTAATGAATTTCAACGAATGCAATTGAACTTTTCGATATAGTATAGTATCCGGACTGCAAGATTTGTGATCTAAATGTGTCTTCTCGGGGGTATTTTAAGTCGCTAAAGCCGAAAATGAGGGTCATTTTTCACAGAAAGTACTATAGGGTACGAGTAGTAGCAGAGCGCGCGGCTTGCTTACCTAAAACCGGGGGTACATCAATCCTTTTCCTCCTTGTGACGCTAATTTTAAAGACTCCATTCTATAACAGGGCTCATTTTATAGGTAGAATTTTAAGGAATGTGACAATATTTTTTTTTTAATTTGAACACCTGTAGCCCATCGCAAAGATATTTACAAAATAAGAATTTGCTTATGATTTTCAGTAGTATAAAATCAATTTTTCGAGTAACAAAAATATTATTACAATAAGGTCGTCCTTCTAGATTCAAAGAAAAAAATAAATTAGCTCAATTCGTTCCATAGTTTCCGAGATAAAAATTAATAAGCACAGCCCGTTTTCATAAAATGAGCAAAAATTGTCAAATTCGAAGGTCCGTATTTTTTAAACAAATTCGAAACTAAGTAAATGATGACTTAAACCCCCCTAATTTCACATGTACTACATCATATTTCATTTGGAATAAAATCCCTGATGTCGATGCCAAAAAGACAAAAAGATTTGGCGTGGAATCACCCTATACAGCAGAGCTACTTAATTTCCCCTCCAGAGGTTCCCCCACTATGCGACTGAGATGGTCTTGCTAGAGTTGCGGCGCGGTGGGAGGACGCGAGAAGGAGTCCTCCCCCACAACTCCAGCGATTGCCTTTTGTTTATGTTACACATTCTGCGTGTTCGTACCAAAAAATTATCGCTGGAGTTGTGGTGGGAGGACTCCTCGCGTCCTCGCAGCAACTCGAGCGAGATCATCTCAGTCGCATAGTGGGGGAACCTCGGGAGGGGAAATTAGCTCGTGAGCAAGAAGTTAAGCAGCTCTGCTACGCAGTAATGTCTCTGCAATTGGCTACTAGTGTGGATTCTATAATTGGTCACATAGAATTTGATTTATGTCATAATGTTAAATAGTAGAAGAACACGTTACAATATAATAAATAAAATGAACTTATAATATTGTACGATGTAAAAGTACTTTATGTACAATATTTTATTTTAGTATGTCTTCAGTCACATTCAGTGTGAAAAATAAGCATACATGTTATAAATATAGGAATGTTGGGTTGTGCACAGGCTTATTGAATAAATGAAAAACAGTAACAAATATATATTTAAATAACAATAGACAATGTCTCGGTACACTATATCTCGTAATACTCTAACACTCTAAACTCGAAGCTCTTGCTCTCAACTCTCAACTATAAACTCTAAACTCTAACTCGTTATTATTCTTTTCTTGTATATAGGGTGGTTCATGTAACTTGCACACCTCGAATAACTTCTAAAGTATGCGTTGTATGGAAAACATTTTATGCACAAGAGTTGCATGGTTTGCAGGGGCACATTGTATAGTGTACGTACTTTTTCACAGGTGGAGGCGTTTCAAAGATTTCAAGGTTAGCTTCGTCACTTTAAATGGAATGCTAAATTTCTTATGCCAAAATATTGAAAAATGTTGAATCCTGAATAAAAAAAGTATTGACCTTTATTAGCCCTAAATCTAATAATTAACACACACGTAACAGACATCGCTCGGGTACCGGTAGACCAGAGCCGCTTAACTTCTTGCTCACGAGCAAATTTCCCCTCCCGAGGTTCCCCCACTATGCGACTGAGATGGTCTCGCTAGAGTTGCGGCGCGGTGGGAGGACGCGAGAAGGAGTCCTCCCACGACAATTCCAGCGACTGCCGTTGGTTTATATTACACACTCTGCGTATTCGTACCGCATAGTGGGGGAACCTCGGGAGGGGAAATTTGTTCATGAGCAAGAAGTTAAGCGGCTCTGGTCTACGCCATTGCTACGCCTATGTTATCTCGCTCGCTGTCAGCCAAGCGTGTAACGCTAAACCACCCGGTTTCTTTTACGAGATTTCACGGCTCGACAGTTCATAATAGAATAATATAACTTTTTTTATCTGAAATTTTTTTTAACATGTTGGTGAGAGTTCTCTGATGAAAATGAGATGAAACACGATATAATTTGAACATTTACTTATTAACCCTTTGCGATCGGTGCCGCCATAGTGGCGGCATTTCAATTTTGTTCTAGAAATCGGTGTCGCCGTTATGGCGGCATGATCTTTGTTTTGTCAAGTATCATACTTTGGAAAATTACAAAAATTAAAACGTTTTATTTTTATGCACTATAACTAGTATGTATTAAAAAAAATATATCAGTTTCAAAATATTCTGTTTTTCAATATCCTTATATATACATATAATAAATCAACTATGCAAAAATAACTTTAAAAATCTAAATTTGCTCCGACTAGCTGGTAGTCCAACCAGAGAAAT